CAAATCATACGTAGTTGGATATTTAAAATTAATATAAAATTGCTTCCTGGGTTAGCTGAGAGGTGCCTAATAACTTAGATGGTCCTCGTGTGACGACAAATGGATGAGCTCTTAATCTTGCCATTTTGAATAGGCTAAGAAAAAAGTTTTAAGGTGAAGATTGCTTAATACTTACAGGAAAAGTTGAAGGATTTTCAAAAAATTTTACGAACTCCAGGAGGGCTGAATTAAGACAGCAACCCTCTGAAATGTCAGCTGCCATATGTGCTGTGTCCAGGCTGCCCACTGTGATTTCTTGTCATCGTGTTCATATATATGCTATGGAGCAAGGCTTCTGGGTTTTGTCTTATTTTTGAAAATTTAAGAAGGATAAAAGTAATACATGGTTGTTGAAAAAGATTTTGGAAAATATGGAAATGTATAATAAAGAAGAAAATAAAATCTAGCCCTGGAACTAAATGATAACCACAGTAAGCATTTTCTTCTCAATGTTTTTCTTTATTTTAAATTATATTTAATTGTAAAAATAATGCATAAATATCTCTTTCTTGAAAAAAAAATCAAAACACTGTGTCCCTACCCACAGGTCCAGTACTAGCGTCCTATTGTCCCCTGCAGAGAAAGTACTGTCATTAGGTGACTGGGTGCTCTGTGGGTCTTTCTCTCTTTTTGTCTCTATATATTCATAGTAAATACATGCAGTGATACTTTTCCTCCTGTATGTGCTTTGTGAGAACAAGTATCAAACTATGGATGAATACTGTCTTATTTTTGTTCAGTGATATTTCTTGAGGATATTTGTATGCCCCAACATACTGATCTATCTCATATTACCTGTTGCATCAGACTCTACAGTATGGAAATGGCTTAATATTTTTATAGTAACCCCCTTCCCCATTTGTAGCTGTTACAAATGGTGATATATCATGAGTATCCTCTGTGCACATGTGTGAGTATTTTTCAAGGGGAACCAATTGGAGAGTTGAGCTCAGTGAGAACCTTTCTCTAAATGTAAAAGTGGGTCAGAGACTTATTCATTTACATTTAATTAATTAGTTAATTCTTTTTGTGGTGCTGGTGGATCTGTTAGTTTGCCATTGCTGTGACAAAAACTTCCGATGTGAACAACTCACAGGAGAAAAGATTTGTTTTGGTTCCTGCTTTCAGAGGGTTAGTCCATGGTCAGCTGGTTCCAAGCAGAAGCATCATGGTGGAAGGGGAGAGGTGGTAGAGGAAAGCTGTTCAGCTCAAAGCAGCTGCCAAGCAGAAAGAGAGAGAGGAAATGAAACTGGGGACAAGAAATGCTGTTCCAGGGCATGCTCCTTCTTAGTGACCTACTTCCTCCAACCAGTCCCATCGCCTAAGGTTTCCACTACCTCCCATTAATGTCATCTAATTATTAATCCACTCATGGATCAATCCACTGATGAGGATCAGAGCCCTTATAATCCAACCATTTCCTTACATTCCACCTCTGAACACTGTATATTGAGGGTTTCATGAGCCGTGGGGGGTGCGCATTGGCATTTTAAACCACACCATAACTGGATCAAACTCAGGGCCTTGCGTACACTAGGCAAGCACTCCACCACTGAGCTATACCCCCAGCCCTACATCTACATTCTTTTTTTTTTTTTTTAAATACTTCTTTAGTTGTAGGGACACAATACTTTTATTTTATTTATTTGTTTTTATGTGGTGCTGAGGATCAAACCCAGTGCCTTGCACATGCTAGTTGAGTAACCCCAGCCCCTCTACATCTCCATTCTTGAAAGATATAAACAAACTGGTAAGGCATCTGAAGGATATACTCATTTTATACTCCTAGAAGCTATACAGGAAAATAACTCTTCCCTTCTACTTGGCTGACACTTGGTATTATCAAATTTCTTATTTTTTGCCCAATCTGCTATACAAAAATTGGTGTGTCTGTGTTTTAATTTGTATTGCCCTGAATCTTAGGGAAGTTGAGTATCTTTTCATATTTTATATTTTAATTTCATTTGTGTCTCCCTTAATGGAAATTTCCTGCTTATATGTTGGGTCCTTTTTATGGGGTCATTTGTGATTTTCTTACTAATTTGTTGGTGTTTACAAATTTTCTAAGTTCTAATAAAACTTTTTTTCTTTTGCATAAAATTGTTTTACACAACTAAAATGAAAGTGTATATACCATTTTGTATTTTGTTTTTTTAAACTAAAATTTATATTGCATTTATCTGGGTTTGGTGATGCATGCCTGTAATCTTAGTAGTTTGGCAGACTGAGGCAGGAGATTGTGAGTTCAAAGCCAGCCTCAGCAACTTAGAGGCCCTAAGCAATGCAGTGAGACCCTGTCTCTAAATAAAATATAAAAAATCTGGGGGATGTGGCTCCCTGATGAAGAGTCCCTTTATTTCAATCCCCAGTACACGCGCACGCGCGCACACACACACACATTGCATTTTTTCATATGACTAAAGTCTCCCCCAAACTGGCCTGGGGTAATAGCTCAGTGGTAGAGTGCTTGTATACCATGCCTAGGATTTGATCACCAACACCTGGGTGAGTCTGGGGGAAGGGTAAGCATTTGGTGGTCATAGTGGTATATGCTTATAATCCCCGCTACTTGGGTGGCTGAGGCAAGAGAATCATGAGTTCAAGTCTAGCATAAGGAATTTAGTGAGACCATGTTTCAGATCAAAACAAAAAACAATGTAGTCTCCTAAATGTGATTTTTACTGACTGAATATAATTTTATTTATTTATTTATTATCTGGTTCTGGGGATTGAACCCAGGAGCAATTTACTGCTGAACTATACCCTCAAACATTTTTATTCTTTATTTTGAGACAGGGTCTCTGTAAGTTGCTTAGGTTGACTTTGAACTATTGATTTTCCTGCTTCAGCCTCTTAAATAGCTGGGATTACATCGTGCCTGGCTGAATATGATTTTATTGTGCATTTGTATCATTTTCTTTTCCTTTTTTCCCTTCATGTTAACATTCTTCTAGATCTGTAGGTTTTTTCTAATGTTTGCAATTGCAGATTTTAAAAAAAATTGCTAACACTCATCTTTTTGAATATCTTTGTATTAAATATTTGGGTATTTTTTTTCTTTTTCCTCCTCCTCTTCTTCCCCTTCTTTTTCTCCCCCAACCCCCACAATGCTGTGGAGTCAACTCAGGGACTCTGTGTGCTAGGCGCGTGCTTAGCACTGAGTGATAGCCCCAGCCCCATCCTATTTTAATATATAGTTTCATTTGCCCATGAATGTTTGAAGATAATGCTTTTGATACTGTTTTGTATTAGGTTGTAACCTCCTAAAATGAATTTCTCAATTGTCTTGTCTGGCTTTTAGTTTTACATTCAATGGACATAATATTTTTTTTTCATTGGAAGAAGATATAAAAATACTATGAATATACCATTTCTTTTTTATATATCTTTAATTAACTAATTCATTAATTAATGTGTTGCTGAGGATTGAACCCAGTGCCTCATGCATGCAGTGCAAGCCCTTAACCACTGAGTCATAACGCCAGCCCTTGATTATGCCATTTCCTAAACAAAGATGTTAGTTTTGAACAAGATAGTCCTAGGGGACCTTCTTTTCCTAATGGGTTTTATAGAATGGCGAGCCATATACCCCATGGTTGAAACCTCTTGTAAGTGACCCATGTCCTCACTTAGGCTGGTTCAGGACACGTGGCTGTGGTGGTTAGGGAGGAGAAGGCCCTTCTGAATCCTGAGACTGAACAGGATGTGGTTCTCCAGTAAAAGCTTCAGTGGATCTTGTTCTGCTTTCTCCCCAGGAGGACACAGCTACCATCTCCTTGGGCATGTTGTGATTGGCAAACACTGACTGTTCCTAAGTGCCCAGAAAGTTGTGTTTGGCATCTACGAACTACAACACACTAGCCATGACAACGCTTTATGATGATTTTTTACATTCATGATTCTGTCAAACCCTTGCTGAGTAGTTGCTGGCAGTCATTGATGGTTTTACTGATGTGTCCCCTGAGGCCACTGAGATTCCAGGAAATTCTCCTTTATGTGACCTCTTTCATATTCCTTCAAAAATGAATGGGTTTCTTTCACAAAGACCTTAGGCCAGAGGGACTTCATAGAGGTGGGTCCAGTTATCTGTCCAAACGAAGAAGTGGTTCTTGAAGGAAGTGGACATAACGCTCGGGAGAACAGAGACAGGACCCGAGGCTGCAGGCTGACCACAGCCTAACCCTGCCAAGTCTGCTCTGCAGAAGTGTTTATTTGGCTCATATTTTTCTTTAAAAACATTTTGACAGTTTTCAAGCTGCAAAACTGAGAATTACTTTGAAAAGGCTGGGTACATGTTTTGTCTTTATTTGGCCAGCTGGGGTCCTTATTTTTGCATTGGTGACCCTCAGTGGAGCTGAGAGCTGCTCCCTTCTGGAGGGATGAAGGCTTTCCATGCTCTCCCCATCTCTAATCTTGTGCATTTCTTCAAGGCATCTCTGTGATCCCAGGAGCTTATGAGATTGAGAGTAAAAGGCTTGGTGAGGAGGAAGGATATGGTCGTTCACATGAAATCCCGTGATCTCTGATGAACAGACAAGAGAGGAGCTGGTCACCTGTATAGTCAGGAGACAGAGGAATGATGGAAACCACCTGATACAGAGGGTGTAGTGCTATTTCTCTCCTGATAGTTCTTGGCTGACTCTTTCTGTGCTGGGCAGGGGTCAAATAGCATTTGAGTTGTTTGGAAGGAAATGCTCTGAATGGCAAGAGTCAATCCTTAAGTGTCAAATCTCACTACCACCCTGGGAGAGCCCCTCATTAGTTCCTGGGCTATCTCTGATCTCCCTTTGAATTTTGAGAACAAGAATAAAGTGATCTGAACACAACACATTTCTGGTTAGCATTTTCAACACATTTGAAATACGAAGAATACTTCCATGCCATCTAGCTTTGCACAGCTGCACAGAAAAGATTGTTTATCATTTTTCTTTGTATTTTGTCTTTTGGGGGGGAACTTTTAGGAAACTCGTGATCATTCTTTGGAAGTCCCTGTCTCTCGGGAGCAATTAAACCATTATCGGAATGTGGTTGAAAATGTTCGAAGTGAACTCGCCGCAACTTTGGTCAAATTTGAATCCGCGCAGTCCGAGGTAAGATCGTGCCCCTTTATCATCAAAAAGTGGGTCTTTCTAGCTTCTGACAGGTGCAGTAGAGGATAGAGGATTAGGAGTGGGATAGTAGAATACAGATTGAAGCTTTTTGGCAAACTTTGCACTTCTTCTTTTCTGGTGGGCCCATCACCTAGAATTCCTGAAGGGTTGTGCATTTCCACACTGCAAAGCAAGGTGGCTTGGCCTGGCTTGAATCTCAGAAAGCCCTGCAGCCTTAAGTGACCAGAGGGCACCTGAGGACTTTGGGTTGAAGCTGCAAGGGTCTTGGGGAACTTTTAGCCTCTCTGGGAATATTATCCTTTACTGTGGATTGAATCTGAATTCCTTTCTTATGGAAGTTTGGATTGGCTGGGGAAATTCTAGTAAGACATTTGGGGTCCACCTGCCCTCTAGGCTAGATCAGGTCTACAGTAGAGCTTCGAGTCTCCCTAGACTCATTCTGCTCCTAGCCCAGTGTCTCTACGAATCTAGGCTGGCCTGTGAGATAACAGGCAACCTCCCTGAGGCCACCAGGACCCCCCTGAAAGATGTGTTGATACTGTGTGTGTGTGTGTGTGTGTGTGCGTGTGTGTGTGAGGGGGGGGGAAGGTGTGCAAGTTCACTTATAGTTCCAAAGAAATGCATTGCATTTATAAAATTTATCAAGTGTTCTTGTAGGAGAGACCTGACATCTTAACTTGGTAGGATATGTACATTGATCAGCATTTTGATGCCAGAGAGCTCATAAAACTCAAAATGTCCCCATTTCATATAAATACAATAAGGATTTTCCTTTGCTCTCATATTTTTTTTTTGCAGAAATCTGAATGTTATTTTTTCACCTACAATTATGGTCCAGAAGGCTAGTAGAAGAAATATAGTGATATATCAAATAGTCTGTATTTATTTGAGAAATAGTTGTGGCTGTGAAATCGCAGAGTGTGGCTTGTAGGTTCCTTGAATCATTGTTTATCAGAAGCAAAAACAGCAATACTGGATATAGAAAATGGGTTACTGCTGCAAAATATATTTATTGCTTTTTGTAATCCCATCACAAATGTTTCCTGAATGAGACAAAATCAACCTAAGTCATTGTTCCCTTGGTTTTGAAAAAGACAGAACATAAAGTCCAATTATTAAAATATAATTTCCTACTTGAAATACAGATAGAAATATGAGAAAAAGAAATTAAACATGGATTAAGTCATGAATGACAGTATAAGATTTTAAATTATGGTTTTGGATTTCTAACTGGTACTTCAAATGGTATGCCATTAGATTGTTTTATCTTTTTTTTTTTGCTGTTGTTAGCTTCGAGACCTGCGCTCCAAGATGCTTTCCAAAGAAGTTTCCTGTCAAGAGCTAAAGGCTGAAATGGAGAATTACAAAGAAAACAATGCCAGAAAATCATCTCTCCTCACCTCTTTGAGGGACAGAGTTCAAGAGCTAGAAGAAGAATCAGCTGCACTTTCTGCTTCTAAAATCAGAACAGAACTCACAGCTCACGCTGCAATCAAGGAGAATCAGGAGTTAATGAAGAGAGTTGTGGAACTAGAGGAGAAATTACAGTAAGGATACTGCAATATGTTCTCGGTTTAGTGAGTGATCCATACTTAGCTTTGGAGCAAGATATGTCTTTGAATAAACTTCAAATATTTTGTATTATCTGACCATGAAACTCAATTTAAAAAAAACCCATATTATTAACCCCAGATACCTTTAGAACTTTTAAAAGCTTTTCCCTAGCTCTTTCCAAGTCTCATCAAGTGTCTCAACAAACACAAGACTGTCCTAAGCAGGGGTTTGTCCTATAGATGAAGCTTGCAAAAACACAGCATATGCAAAATGGGAAGATTTTCTCTAAGTAGAGGTTTAACCCTGAGGTGGCAGGCTAGTCTGCAGAGGGAGGCATTTACTCAGAAGCCAGTTATAAAAATCCTGGAGCGCAACACTCTAGCTCCTGTCCTCCTCCTCTCCCACTTCCTGCAAAACTTCTCCAGTCTTGTACGCCAGACCAGCCAAACGTTCTTCATTAGGTTTTATTACCAGTTTACACAGGACTCTTAAAAACCTAGATTTTTCCACCCTTGGTTTCATAAGGAGGTAATTATTAAGACAAAAGTAGGACCCAGTTGCTTCTAAAATGTATTTTAAAAATTCTATACAGGACTCCAATGTCTTTATTAATAAAATGCATGATGTTTATTTTGCTTGTCCCATTTAAAAAAATAAAGCAACACCCTAGCTCCTGTCCTCCTCCTCTCCCACTTCCTGCAAAACTTCTCCATGCTTGTACACCATCATCACCATCTCCAAGTGCTCTCCTCTCTCCTAGAGCTGCTCCACAGAATCACTCGTGTAGACCGCCAGTGACTGCCCAGTGCAGGGTCAATGGTCAGCCTCACCTCGCTTGACCTGTCAGCAGCACACCAGTCACAGCCCGCTGTTCTCCTAGAGTCCCTTTCTTCTGTTGGTCTCCAGGACATTGAACATGACCGTTTCCATTCTTATCCTCTCATGTGGTTTCTTCTGATTTCCTTCATCTCCTTGACTTCTAAATGTTGCCTCGGGCTCAGTCTTCGAATCACTTCTCATTTCTTTGTCATTTGGTGTCATGACTTTAAGCATGATCTAAGTGCTGGTGTCACCCACATTTCTGTATCTAGCTTAAATCTCCTTCCACAACTCAAGACCCACCATCTTACCCACATCTTACCACCTGGTCCATCAGGCACCTCAAACTTAATGCGTCTAAAACTCTGCTCTTGACGTTCCCACACAATCCTTCTGCACAAATTTCCTTATTTTCTTCAAGGATAATTCCATTCTTCTAGTTGATCAGGTCTAAAATCTTAATATCATCCTTGGTTCTATTTCTCTTTCATACTCATAGCTGGTTCCTTAGCAAATCCCAATCCTGTCTACCTTCAAAGTGAACTTAAATTTTGACTGCTTCTGTGGTCACCCCAATAACTACTGGATATTGCATTAGACATTTGAAACATTAGCACCCCACTCCTGATTTTAATTTCTGTCTTTCTTTGAGGTGCTATAAAAATACCATAGACTGGCTTACACAGCAGATATTTATTCCTTTGTAGTTCTGGAGGCTGAAAGTGTAAGGTCAAGGGCTGGACAGTTCATTCCCTGGTGAGAACCCATTTCCTGGTTTGCAGGTGAATGCCTTCTTGTGACTTGTGACGGAGAGAGGGAGATTGGTTATTCCTTCATGTCTCTAATCTTATTACCTAATTACCTCCTCAAGGCCCTGCCTCCAAATTTGTCATATGGCGACTAGGGCTCAATGTATTAATTCTGGGGGACATAAACATTTAGCCCATAACAGTGGTTTGCTTGCTTCTGTCTACACCCCTGCAGCCAGGGTGATCCTGTTACAATACGAATTAGATCATGTCTGTCCTCAGCTCAGAGCTCTCTAGCGATTCCTTTTCTTACTGAGAACAAAGACATAGTAATATTTTCTATATCCTAACAGACACATCCTAACCTGGTTTATTGCCTTTATCTCCTTTATTTATTTTTTTACCTTAGATAACTTTCCTTCCTCCCTCCCTCCCTCCCTCCCTTCCTTCCTTCCTTCCTTCCTTCCTTCCTTCCTTCCTTCCTTCCTTCCTTCCTTCCTTCCTCTCTCTCTCTCTTCCCTCCCTTCCTTCTTTTTTCTTCTCTCTCTTTCTTTTTTTTTCTGTTTCTTTAACTTGACAGGTGTGATCCTACCCCAGGGTCTTTGCAACTGCTAATCATTCTGCCTAGAAGGCTCTTTTCCAGATGTTACATGGCTGCTTCCTTTAGGCCTTTACTCAGAAGACTCCTTCCTATTGAAGCCTCCCAAAGTTCCACATCTGAAATTTTACCTGATCACAATATTTCTTACCACCTTTCCTGCTTCATCTTTTCTCTGCAGTCCTTTTATTACTTACTATAGGTTTTAATATTATGATTATTGTCCATCTTTCCAACCACAACATACGCTCCATGAGGGCAAGGGTTCTTATCTGTTTTGTTTACCTACTGTCCTTTAGCATCATTAATAGGGCCTAGTGCATAGTACATGATCAATAAATGTTTATTAAATGAACAATAAAATGATGTATACTTATTGTAAAGTGCCAAGAAGAAATTAAAAATTGCCTAAAACCTTATGGTTGTCGAAAAGCTATAATTAACAATTTCTGAACAGATTTTCAGATAGTTGTAACCACATGACATCATATAATATACTATTTTTACTGAATAATATATTGTAGATATTTTAAAAAGTCATTATAATTTTTAAGAACCCATTTTATTCCGTAGTCTGAAATACCTCAATTTATTCAACCAATTCCTTTTGCTTCCTGTAAACACTTATAGCACCATTAAAAAAAATTACTACAAACCAATCTTAGAATAGGAAAGACAGTAAGATAAGTTGGACATAATTTTCCTATTTTCACATATGAATACATGACAAGGATAACTCCACATCATGTATAACCACAGAATGGGAAGTTATACTCCAAGTATGTATGATATGTCAAATTACATTCAACTATCATGTATTACTAAAAAGAACAAATTAAAAAAAATAAACCCAGCTGTAATGAATGTCCATGAGCATTCATATTTTCACATTTATGTGATTATGTTCTTAGGGTAACTTCTGAGACTTTAGGAGGGTAGGTCAGGTAAAATGAAAATAGATGTGGGCGTAGTTTAGAGAGTAAGATTGAAATCTTGGGGTTAATATACAGGATTATATATGCAAATCGATAAGAATCACAGTATTCACTGTGCCTTTCACGAACCTGAAAGACTGAATAAATATTACCTTTCATATGCCCAAAATAAGAATTCAAAGATATATTGATGTTAGTTTTTTTGTTGTTACGTTTTTCCAAGTGAAAATACGATATACTTTTGAGTATATGCAATTACATGCTTTGTTAATCTTCGAATAGAGTGAAAAAATTGCAGTAAACACTCAACGTGGTGAAAAGGGAAAGCAATAATCATGTTCGTTGTCTAGGGTACTGAAAAAATGGCACCAATTTACTGAAATGATTCTAATTTGCCTTTAATATGCATCTATTTTTTTTCATGACCTCTAAGTCTTTAACATTTAAAGCATTAGAAATGGACCACACCATTTCAACAAACCTAACTGAAATTCGAAATAAAATATTCACAACAGGCTCCCAATCTCCTGATTCTTCTTGACTGGCCAATTACAACACTCTTCCCATACCCTAAAGATTCGGTGTGTGTGTGGAAACTAATCATGATCTTTGCTGGTGACTGACCACTTCTGTCCTCCAAGGGTGGCCCATCCCCCCCTCCCTAGGCGTATCTTATTACAATTCTGCCTGGTTACGCCTGTGCCCCTACAGGCTACTTGAAAATGAAGTGAAGCTTGGTCTTCTAGAACCAATGCATTGGCGCTCTGCTTCTCTACAAGGTCCCAGTGGGGACCTGTGCTTGTGTGGGTTACCATCACACGTGGTGAAGAGTCCACTTGTGATCCAGAGGCCAGCCTCTGCTTCTGCAGATCCCAAAGGGTTGAGCAAAGGAGGCGGAATCCATTCCCCCAACTCCCAGCCCGTTACTAGGCCCGAGATGCCATGAGAATTTCTCTGCATTTTCAGAAATGCAAAGCATACGTACCCAGAAATTGCTTCCGAGTTTCTCTGCCCCTCACAGGGGGCTTGGTTGACAGCAAGGTGCATTGTATCCAGGGGCCTCATTTGTGCTGAAAATAACAGTTATTTCCCACAGAGAGCTTCATTTCCAACTGGGTTTGATGAATGTTATCTTCTGGGGTGCTAAATCCTGACTTATTTGTTTTTTTGCCTGATAGAAAATGTTCAAAGGAAAATGAGGAAAACAAGAAGCAAGTTTCAAATCATAGCAGGAAACACGAAGAGTTTCTAATTCAACTTCATGATTCCTTGGATCCTGACAAGAGGAGCGAGAAGGCATCGGAAGAAGATTTGATTTTAAAGGTGTTGCAATGCAGACCACAAAGACTGAAATTTAAGGGTCATTCTGACATGTGACATGAAAGGAGGTTCTGAGGTTGAGTCTGGACAGTGACGGGAGACCCGGACAGTAGCCCAAGCGTAGCATTAATTAAGTGTGTAACGTGGAACAAATCATAGCATCTCTGGGGCCTCCATTTAAAATTCTTCTTGCCATTATTTGGGATTAATTATTCTCCAAAAGGGATGAATTATGTTGTCTAAAATATATTTAGGTTTTCAAATACAGTTAATTATTCATATTGATGATACATGTCAGGACCATGTTTGTTTTCTTTTAGTTACACACACACACATAAAACCAGATAGGTGTCATTTGGGGGACTTACTGAGTCTACATTTAAGATTAATTCAAAAGTACTTTTAAGTTTTTACATGAAAACCAAGTAATAAAAATATCACTTATTGGTAGATGACTGTTAAGATGGGAATTACTGATACTGACTGAATAATTCATTGTCTCATAGTGGTTCATTTGGGTATCTCAAGGTATTTGAGTGCTCCTGGTCTCGCTGCTCATTGAGAAACCCTTTGTTTCCTTGCATCCTGGCAGACTTCATCAGCCATTCTTAAAAGCCACCTTCCAGCTGTCTGTCAATCAGTTCCTCCAGTGTCCTCCCTGTAAGCTGTGAGAGGGTTCCAGGATGCTTTAGCACGTATCCATTCGCTGATAGGTTTGGTAGCTAAGGACAGAGTCTGCCCAACACCCTCATGGGCTCTGGATGGCCTTTTCCTTCTACTGTGACTGATGTGTGACCAGGAGCTATGCTGTAAAAGTGTCCTTCATGCTGTGGTCTGGGGGGCTGACTTTTCAATCCCCATGCTGGGGAAAAGCAAAGGGATTTCAGAAGTTTCTTCTCTGTGATACCCTTCCCTTCACCAAAGATCATCTCTAGGTGCTCATCTGGGTGCGTTAATCATGCCCTTTAATTTTCTGTATTCCTGATGCTTTGTCATCTGGGAGCTTGCTGACCCAGAACAGACTGCCCCTGCCCCCAGGGTCAGCCGATTCCTAGAGTTGGTAAAGGACTCAGTCGGGAGCTTGGCTTTCCCATGAAAACTAACCAGCCCAGAGCCCACTACCTAATCACCTCCTAAGTCTGGCTCTTATACTCCCTGGGCCACCGTCCTTCTGCTCTCACTTTCCCAGGGCCAGACATCAGATGGCTCTGGACAGCCTCCGCAGTTGCAGACACCAGTCCTAAGCCTGCTCACTCTTGAGCCTTCTCGTGCCTTCTCCTTCCTGTGACCACCATGACAAAGAGTCTCTTGCCCATGTTCTTCCCACTGCTCCCTCTGCCTCCTGACTGTTCTGAGGCTTTTCCAAGTGGCCCTGCATAGCGTGGCATGTCTCTTCTTGGGAACCACAAGCCATGAACCCTCTTTCCTGTAGCACTTGTCACCTGGTCTGTTGGCCTCCCAATGACTGGATAGTAATGGAACCTGTATTTCAAAACCAATAGTAGGACTCTGAAGTTTTAGCACCCCATCCTGAGTAGGAGCTCGCCTAGAAACAAATCTCTGGCCGGAGCAGGAAGTCTGGTGTCTTGAGCAAGACCACAGACTCACTAGGTGTTCCTCTGAGAAATGGGACAAAATCCCTCCCACTTCAAAGCTATGGCTTTGCTTTCACATGCCCCTGTAAACACGTGTCACCAAACACTTCCAAGGATCTGTGGTGGAAAGGGAGTACTCCTAATAACTTATTTGATATTCATTCATCCATTTATCAGTCCTCAGTGAAAGACAGGCGAGGAACCACTCAAGGTGCTAGGAATGTGGTCGTGAGTGAGGCAAAGCTAACTCCATGCTCTCTTAGAGCCTTCTTTGTCATGGGGTGATGATGGTGAGGAGGTAAATAAGTAAATACAGAGTATTGTCCTACATGGTTGAAGGTGCAGTGAAGAAAAACACATCAGGATGGAAGGCTAGACAAAGCGGGTCAGCAGCCTGCGATGCTGGTTCAGGGAGACTGACGGAGGAATGGCCCTTGAAGTGGGGACTCTTGAAGGATGTTGGGGAATGAGCATGCAAATATGAGAAAAAGCGTTCAAGGGGGAGGAACAGCACTGAATTGGAAATGGTACTGTGTTGGCACAGTGCTGACGCTAAAAGGTGTGGCACTTGCATGGCTGGGTGTGACTTGGAGGCTGGACATTCGCACCACCTATAGACATCCACCATAGGCTAATCCATCCCATAGGCTAATCCTAGCCCTGCATGATAATCAGAGTTTGAGGGTGTTAAGCAGAATTTTCCTAGGTGCATATTAGGAGGATACTTTTCAAAATAGTAGTCCTGTCTCCTCTGTGTCTCCCCTGGTTCAGATGGTGCCTGGCGTGCAGTAGGTGTGAGCAGGTGGGCATTGAACGCAGCTCCTGGCTCCATTTCCTGCTGTGACCTCTGTGGAGCATCTCTGGCCTCCAGTGCTCAGAAGCCAGCACCAGCCTCTGGCCACCGGTGTTCAGACGCCAGGGCTGATGCTTGCCCAGTGGACAAATTTTTGACTCACTCCTGACATCCTTGCCTTGTGACCATGTTTTGAATACTTTTAAATTGCCCCTGGGCCTGCATCTAATGGCCCAGCTAGAGGCTGCCTTTGGAAATGTGAGCTTTCGAGATCATTTAGGAATAACGTTTTTTTTACTGTTTTCCTATGATCACGAAGTCCTTGGGCCCAGGCTGGAGAGAGTGGGTGAGGTTGTGAATTTTTACGGGATGGCTGTAATTGCTTTCTCTTCAGCTTAGAGAGCTGTGCAAGGAGATCGCGTTCGTGAAAGGACAAATTGTTACTCTTGAAGAGTCTCTAAATGTCCATGAGATGGAGGCAAAAGCTAACAGAGAGACGATTGTGAGGCTGGCTTCAGAAGTCCACAGAGAGCAGAGGAAAGCTGCCTCTTGGAAGGAGGAGAAAGACCAGCTGAACCAGGTAGGGCGTGTGAAGCGTGTATGCGCATCTGGGACCGCGTTTAAGAAACAGAGACGGAAAAGCCGTGTCAGACGAGGGCACCAGGGTCTTGGACCACGATTCCAACACTGCTCTCAGCAGGAGGTGTGGGGCGACGTGGGATTAAGTGACCCGAACAGGCCATTCGATATATATATTTTTTCAGTTGGAAAAAAAGAAACAAAAAAATACTTAAAAGTATAAAAGTAAAGACTCTGTAGAGAAGATGATTTATGTTAACTAGATGATAAGGATTGTTTAAAAATTTGTTTTGCTTTTTTGAACCAACAGATAATACGTTTACAAGTCTAATGTCCAAAAAGATATTCAGTGAAAACCCTTTCCCTTACCCCTCGGCCCAGTTCTCCTAGGGAGGAACTGGCTACAATTTCCTCTGTGTACTTCTGGAAATAATTCTATGCACATGTAGGCATGCAACATGTAAGAGAAGATGTCTGTTATATGTAACATGTAATATGTATGTATTTTAAAAAATGGCAATATATTGCACAATAATATCAAGAAGGCGATGATGAATGATTTTTATATAATTTTGCATGCTTCATGGATCATATAAAACAAAGTCCTAGAAGTAGACTTACTCTGTCAAAGGATATGGGTATTGTAATTTTGAGAGATATCGACAAAAGGAAGTAATTTCCTATTCTAAATTTTTTTTACATAATAAATTGCTAGATCTTTTAAAATTAGCTATAATCTATTTGAGCAAGAGAATCAATACCACGTTTAACACCATAAAACCCTTTAATTATGATTTTTATGTTTTGTAATAAGAAACGAATTATTGGATGAATAATGACAATCTGCTTCCAAAAGCAGTAATGAGTGAGTGCAGTCAGTTAACACAAGTACACAGGAGGGCCAGGGGTGCTGGTGCATTCCTGTAATCCCAGCAGCTCAGGAGGCTGAGGTAGGAGGGTTGTAAGTTTGAGGCCCGCCTCAGTCACTTAGTAAGGCCTTAAGCAACTTATGTGAAGCCCTAAGTATCTTAGCGAGACCCTGTCTCAAAGTGAAAGATAAAAAGGGCTGGGGACGTGGCTCAGTAGTTAATCACCACTGGTTCAATACCCAGTAACAAAAAAAAAGGCACAGAGGAGGAAATAAAATGGCCTTGGTAAACAAGATGGAGTTTACAATGGAGTATTAAGTGGTGCTCCAAAAGAGTGTCCCCAGAAAGGGTGAAGACCCAGGCTGAAGAGAGGGTGTGACTTGGTCTATGGGAGAAGGGGCCAGTTTCCTTGGGCCTTTCCTACCTGTAGTGACATTACTGCTGAGCAGAAGCGAGATGGGAAACTGAGGCGGGGCAGTGATCCCAGTAAAGATAGTAATTTCTAATTCACCCCCAATTCCATGCATCAGCAAGCCCTCTTACCATTGGTTTTCTTCTCTGACATTTAAACTAGGAACAAAAAGCCAAGACTCTATCATTGTCAACATCTTAGTCAGCTTGAGTGGCCATAACAAAATATACAGAGTTGGTTGGCGATGTAGCTCCCAGGTATTGCGCTTGCCTAGCTAGCATGCACAAGGCCCTGGGTTCGAGTCCTAGCACCACAAAAAACAACAACAACAACAACAACAACAACAACAACAAAAAAACAAAGCAAAGCAAAGCACCACAAATTAGATTGCTTAACAACAATTTTTTATCCCTTGTAGTTTTGGAGGCTGGAAGTGCAAGATCAGGGTGCAACCACAGTTAAGAAACTGTTGACATAACAGATATTTGTTGTTTTAAGGTTTCAAATTTTGGGCAAATTCTACACAGCAGTAAATAACCAATAATCCTCTCAAATTTCATTCAAACACTACATATATATTTGTAAGAATAAGTGCTAAATAAAAATGTCTTTTATAGATTTTTTTTTCACCAAACTGGGATTTAATCTGGGTTTATTTATTGCATATTTGGAAATTTTTAGTTCCTTTTTAAAGTCCAGAGAAGCAATGTGATAGTTTCTTCATGATACTATTTGAATTGTTTCTCTACATCCTGAAATTGTATTATCTCAGAAGTAAAGTTGTATATTTTCTATTATACCACACTAGAAAGAAAATGATGTTAGATATTCCTTTACTGGTAACATTTAGTGTGACTACAAATATCGTTAGTGTAATGGTACATTTTTTCTTCTGCAGTTAAGTAAGATATCTGGGGTGTGTGTGACATTTATTAGTATGGAGCTTAACAACTTCACCAATGATATTAGCATCCATCAAATCTTGTTTGGAATAACTATTAGGTCAGGTTGGCAATGTGGTAGTATTCTAATTTTAGCATTTGTCCTATTAATTAGCTGCTATTTTTCTGTAAAGAAAATATTTCCTTCTTTTTCTTTTCAATTCTATGGATGCATGGATTTTTTTTTGTATTGTGTTACACTCAATTATTCTTTTTTGTTTTTCTGAATTCTCCAAATTTGTCCAGCTCCTTGTGACCTTGACTCCTTTAGTGTGTGTGTGTATGTGTGAGTGTTTGGCACCAGGGATTGTACCCAGGGGTACTAACCACTGAGCCGCATCCCCAGCCCTTTTTTGTATTTTACTTAGAGTCAGGGTGTCACTGAGTTGCTTAGGAACTCGCTAAGTTGCTGATGCTGGCTTTGAATTCATGATCTTCCTACCTAACTCAGCCTCCTGAGATACTGGGATTATAGGCATGCACCGCCATATCTGGCTTCCTTTAGTGTTTAAGACTTTCATATTTTTAGAAAGAAGTTACCCCAGGGTCACTTGAAATTTTTAGTTCATAAGCCCAAACCAGCCAATTTCCTAAGGAGCTCTGGTTCATTTTATCAGGGAATGGTGCTTGGAAACCAACAGTGATGCTTTAAATGTGCTCATTTATTGAACATTTACACGGTCATTGTGCTAAGTGCTCCGTGAGGCTATGCACTTGATCAGGTTCACATGGCGGTCACATGGCAAAGCTGGGACTGGAGCCCAGATTATCACATCACTGTCTCCGTCCATAAATCCCCTTTACACTGATGGTCACAGCTACGTCTTACGTATGAGTTTGACAGAAGACATTATTTATCAGTAAGAGGAACAACAATGTTAGCAGCTATGAAAATTTCCTCGGTGAGTAATTTCTAATTCAATTATAATAGTAGTTATTAAATTATCAAGTCTTGAAAATTAGAAAGAATGTAATCTTTATCTGTAAAATGCATCTCTGGAGTTTTAGGAGTAGGAAATAAGAAAATGTGTTGTTAAAAAAAAAAAAACAACTAATTCCTTTTCTTACATAAGTGTCTTTACTGGGAAACGACTGAGGCAATGTTGTTCAGACTTTGGGAACACATTCACTTTGGCTTGAGGCTCCTGCCAAAATAATAAAAATTGTAAAATAAAAATACAGGCAATAAAAAACTTGAGGTCTTTATAATAAAGTGCTCATTCACAGGATTATGACTCCAAAGATTTACTACTGAAAAACACAGTCAAGTGGTTTTACTGACATGTTAATGGTCTCAGGAAGAGTCTTCCTAGTGCTTTCTAAAGCTCTGTTTTGGAGATAGGAAACTTGTTTTATTAGTGAAGTCCAGCTGTACTGCAGAGCTAGAAGTATCCACAGGGCTGGGGTGCTGTTTCTACAAACTCAACTTTTCTGATACGCTTCAAGACTCTACTTAAGTTACTTTATGAAAAGTTTGCATAAAAATCTGAGCAATTTCTCATATATATGATGAATATCTTATATACAAATCTTTAATAGTTAATATTTTTGCTTTTTTTTTTGGTGCTGGGAATTAAATTCAGGACCTCATTTTCAACCATTGAGCTACACTCCACACATTGAAGTATGTTTTATAAACTACCAAAGGTTGATATCTTTTCTCTTGATTATCTTAAAGAAAAAATCCAACTTTGAGAAAAGTAGTCACTTTCCCTGCACAAGTCTACACAGTCACACACACATTTCTTATAGACTAATAGAAGTTAAAATTAATGGACTGGAAATTAGGCCTACACGTTGCATACCAAACAACTCCTTTTCTTTCACATTGTTCACATTTTCTTTAATTCTATTGAGTAGAATTAAAATTAGGATGCCATACTGGTTTTTGGATTCAGGCTGGCCTGGGTTTGGTATGTTCTGTGTTTTTTTGACTTATTAGCCTGTGGCTGAGCCTTGAAGGGGAAAAGCCTTAGAGGGACACAGCAGGTAGGTTAAGAAGCTGAACTTGGGGATGGGGCTGTGGGGTTTTCTCCAGAATCAGATGACCATGTGATCTCAGGCATGTAGCTTTTCCTCTTTGGATCTGCTTTTTAAAAAAAATCTGTAAAATAGGAAAATAACTTAAGGTTCTATCTCTCATAACTATCGTTAGGATTAAAGTACACAAAGTCATCTCTCAATATCCATGGGGGATTGGTTCCTGGACCTCTGGTGGATGCAAAATCTAAAGATACTCAAATTTCTTATATAAAATATAGTAGTATTTGTATATCACCTACTCATATCCTCCTGTGGACTTTAAATCAGCTCTAGTGTACTTGAAATGCCTAATAGAAGGTAAAAGCAGAGTGGTCATACTATATTATTTAGGGAATAATGACAAGAAAAAGTTCAGTACGTGTTTAGTATAGATGCAGGGTTTTTTTCCCCTTGAATATTTTTGACTTGAAGTTGGTTGAATGCATGGGTGTGGAGGCTGTAGATGGACAGGGCCGACTGTTACATACAGTACTCAGCACGTGTCTGGTACATGATTTATACTCAGTATTTCTATTTCTCTTTCCCAGTTATTTAGTTTTATCCAGAGTTTAAAATAAATACAGGATTGTTTGAAGAGTGCAGGCCTATGGAAATGTCCCTGGAATTGAGAAATGACTAGACTGGATATGTTACTAAAGAAATTAAGGGTCTCTTTACTCTTCTAGAATCATAATGTTGGAAGTGACTGTCAAGTCATTTAGAATCGAGACTGACTCTAGATAATAAGAATTCTCTT